AACTTCTCCAAAGCAGCAAGTGCCATCATCACCCAAAAGGAGAAATCCAGTTGTGTTAAAATAATTTCATAGACAAAGCAATGCAGCCACAGAAATTAGAGATGGAGAAGTAGCATTATGTCATCTCTCCTTTCCTTCTGGCCAGTTACTGGGCTGATTTCCTATTCTCTCGTGCTGGTAAAATGACTTCAGCAACTTGGTTTCTGCCCGTTCCCATGGGAAACTTCCACAGTCTATAGATTTCACTGGTAGGAAACTCTTTTTGGCAGTCAGACTATATTTTCCTTTACTCAGTTCTACCACATCACTCCTACTTATGCCTCCTTGGAGCACCCTAAACACTCTTCTCCATTGAAGTCAGTGCAGTTATGCGAGCAGTAAATTTGGCTCGTGGCACTTGGAGAAATAGATATTAAAACCCTAGGGACAAATTAGGGAGCAAGGGGAGGAAGGGCAGTGAGGGAAAGGAAATGGTTTCAGGTTAAGAGAAACAAGATCTCTTACACTGCTATAGAGCAGTGCTGCCCATGGCCCTGGTGGGACCATGCCCAGGACAACACAGCGGGACACTGTGAGAGGCAACAATGTCTCTGGGGTCTCCCTAGGATGTTACAAAGCCAAAGTTGAGGGCTCTAAGGCATTATGTGGAGCTTGGACTTGGGTGCAGAGGGGTTGCATAAAGCCCTGGGCACCTGCCTTGCCAGTGGCTGAGCTGTTTTGAGTCCCAGTGATAGTACCCACAGTCACCCTATGGCCTGTCTCCCCCAGCTGGGATGGCCACTGCCTGCTGGTCCAGAAATCCTGATCCAAGAACACTCACTGCAAACTGTGCCTCTATGTGTTAAAGCACATGTGTTTTTCAGGACAAAATCCCAAATGGCCTCATGCCTTCCCCCCAGTTCTTACGTCACTATTGTGATGTTAGGATAAGTCCAGCAGATGTGTGCAGTGGTGGAGAGAAGGCTGTTGACAGACACACAAGATTTATCCATCAGTGATCCTCAGCTCCTGTGTGCTCTGTAACAGCACAGGGTGCACTGCACGGAACGTGTGTGGCAGAGGCGTAGGGAGGAGACAGCAATAAGGATTTACTAGTGTGGGAAAAAGTGGAATAAAGAAGTGCAGGACTTCTCTTCCTGGGACTCTGCAAGAGGGAGAGGGCTGAGATGGTTCTGTGACTGAGGAACATCTCAGAGTATTGCAATAAGGACAAAATCCCATTATAGATACATAAGGATGGATGAGGAATGTAGAAGTCTCATACCAAAGCCCTGCACCTCAGTGTCCTGGGTGCTGTGTGTTCCCAAAAAGGGGGTGGTGTTTGCTGGTCACTCCTCCCTGGCCAGGTCACTGTACAGCAGAGCACGCCAGGGTTACATGGTCTAGAATGTCTTATTTTCCCATGATCATGCACTTGATTAGCATCATGAAATGGTGAACTTCTTTTCTCAAAACAGAACTTTAACCATGTAAGGAAAACTGCACCCTGTATGGATTAGGACCAAGAACACACTGACTTGATTTTGGGTACCTGCTCCTGTTTATCACATCATCAGGGCTTGTTCCTGCAGAACTCTGAAGTGTGTGACACCTTCAATCTTTCAGAAGAAGGAGCATTCCAGAGCATTTCAGAAATGGCCTCTTCAGTATTAGAAAAATAATATTTGCTACAAGGACATACAGATTTTCTGACTGGGAAGAGGTAAAGCAACAGGGTGAAACTCAGTATCCAGTCAGGACAGGAGAAGTGCTGGAATCTGCTTCCTTGTGTCAGACTCTAGGAAAATGCTGGAAAGAACATGGCTGTATCTGTAGGACACATGGCCTGGGAAGAATCCCCCAGGGTGGATGTTGGTTAGGTAAGCCAACAGACCTCACCCTTCCTCTCTCATCACTGTGGATTTGATCACAGAATCACAGAACAGTTTGGACTGGAAAAGACATTAAAGATCATCTCATTCCAGCCCCCTGCCATGGGCAGGGACATCTTCCACTAGACCAGGTTGCTCCAAGCCCCGTCCAGCCTTGAACACTTCCAGGACTGGGATATCCACAGCTTCTCTGGGCAGCCATCATCTTGGTTTGAAGGCCTGATGGGTTCTCTGCTTTCTGCCCTGGTTTAACAAGTGCATTTTACAGAGCTGGGCACTCTCCAGGCCCATCTCAACAGTGCTCCAGTAAGTGCTACCCTCGTCAGGAGCTGCACCTTCTCAGTGCCACCTGTCTAATCAATAATCGTCGAGAAATAGGATATGGAAACTGTACTGATGCAGCTCAATTAGTTATTGATTAACCAGCCAGCAAGACAACCACCACTCTGATTCTAGGGCACGGAGCAAACCCAGCTGTGAATTTTTGGTTGTGCCCATTCCTTTCTAACTCTCTTCAAAATTTTTCTTGCCCTATGCCCCCATCTGTGGCCACAGCACACATGCTTCTGCCACAACTGCTGCCTGAGGCATGTTAAGCAAATTCCAGGAGGCAGAAGCAAGTGTTGAGTCTAGCTGGAGCCCTGCTCTTGAGATGGCAGCAGGAGTGGAGGTGACCTGTGTTCTGCCAAGCAGCAGGCAGGCTCCTGCTGCAGGCAGTGGGTCAGTCTGGAGGGTAGAGCCACAACTGGCTCCCAACCCAGTGGACAAAACCTCTCTCACCCACACTCTGTGTTCCAGGCAGAGCCCAGCCCTCCTCCTGATGTACCTCTGCATGGATGCTCTTTCCGATCACTTACCCATTTGCAGTTCCCAGGGGGAAAACTCCTGACATCCAACTGTTGAAGATACAATTCCAGTAAAACCTGTCTTGGGGCTATTTTTCTTAAAAAGCCAATCCAACTTTTACAAGCTACAGCTGACAAATATTTAAGGCTTAAACCAATTTTCTGTGACATTTTGTTGACGTTATCCTGGCTGGTGCTGGGGGATGTAAGGAACAAGGAGAATTATTCCATCTGAATGGTTTCCCTGTTAGCTTATGTGTGTGGGAATGTGCAGTGGAGCAACCCATGTGTGGAAGCAGCAGATTTTCTATTTGAAATTGTACGAAACACCAAATGCAGAGGTGAGTAAACCTGGGTGCAGGAGAGGCACGCATGGAATGATGGCTGTCCACAGCTGTGATTCATGCATTGCTGGGAACTGTCCTCTTTAATTCCCTTCATAATTACCCACCTGGGCCAGCTGGCAGAGCTTTGCCAGCACACAGAGGGAAACTGAAAAGCAATTCCTCCTTCCTCCTGCCACAGCTTGGCACCTCCATCTCTGCTTGGTTTGGCATCACCCTTCATACCACAGAGCCCAGCAGTGCCACCTATTTTATCTCACTGCAGAGAAACATTGGAATTGTTTGCTGTTGACGATGTAGCTGAAGTACAAAAGTTCTCCTTGTGTCATCCCAAAAATCTGCTTTGCAAATACCTGGTCCTGGGGAGAATGAGGATGAATGACACTGGTACTGATGGAGATTTGGGTGGCCCAAGCTCTGCATTAACCCACTGAGCAGCTTTTAGAAAGTCATACACCTCTCAGGATCTTATTTCTCCTCTTCAATCTGCTTGGTTTAATTAGTTTGTAAACTCCAGTTTGTAGTTTCAGATTATTTTACAAGATTCTCACACCACAGCCAGTGTGATGGAAACAGTTCACTTTTGCACAACAATTCAGGAATTGATGTACACTTGATTATATGAATAAGTCAGGATAATACTGCTGCTTCTGACACATAAAATAAAGGATCTTCATGATGAAAAGATTCTTCTCTTGTTTGGGAGAGAATTTAAAAATAAAATAAAGAGGTTTCAGCAAAACCTTACTCTAAGTGCTCTGAAAACAGCAAAGTCTGTACAAATGTTTATGAATCTTTTAATAAAAACATGATAGAAAAGCTGCACAAATGCATTGGAGCTGTAAGCTGTGTGATTGCTGTGAGAATACTGGCTAAAGCACTTCTATGGAATGTGCAAAACCCCCATACTTGGAGAATGCCAGAGTGTTCTGATTCTGGAAAGGAGGGTCCCACAGCTAATGGTATTGCGGGAAGTATCTCCTCAGACAGATGCTCTTAGTTTGCCTTTCAGGACCTGTTCTGCTGGCTTCGGTTTCTGTGTTACTCCCATAATGTGGACTATGGCAAATCTCACCAGGAATTTTCACAGGCATGAATTTCAGAAAATACAGCATGACAGAAAGTGCAGCTGGTTGAAAAGCCAACTCATCAAAAGAATAGGCAAATCATAGTATCACAGAATAGTTTGTGCTGGAAGGGACCATTAAAGGTCACATAGCCCAGCCCCTACCATAGGTGGGGACATCTTCTGCTGGACCAGGTTGCTCCAAGCCCCTTCCACCCTGGCCTTGAATGTTTCCAAGGATGGGCCATCCACAGCTTTTCTGGGCAACTTCAGCAAGTGTTCTATCACCCTCGTTGTAAAAAAAATTCTCCCTAATATCTAATCTAACCCTTCCCCCTGTCAGTTTAAAACCATTATCCCTTGACTGTGGTAAACGGTTTGTCCCCACCTTTTTTATAACCCCCCCCTTAGGTACTAAAAGACCACAATAAAGTCTCCCTGGAAACCTTGCTATCCTAATGTTTGGGGGTAAGGAGGAGAAAGGAGCGACATGCCCCCAACACCATAATGCCTCCAGTGCCTGACCCCCAGCTGGCGATTCCCTGCAGCCGTGGGGGCACAAGGCACGGGACACCCCTGCATGGCAGCGGATTTGCAGCCCCCGGACCCCTACGGGAGCGGCCCCGGGAGTGCCCAGCGGGCCCGCGGCAACCTCGCCACGACGGCGGGCGACGAGGCCCCGCCCCGACGGGGCCACGCCCCCGCCATCAGCCAATAAGCGCGTCCTATGCTATCTTCGCCCCGCCCCTCCTTATTATGCGAGAACCCTCGGCTGTGATTGGCTGAGGGCTCCGCCCGTCCCCCGGGCTCGCGCCCCGCCCCGCCGCTGCCTCTGCCTGCGCTGCCGGCGGCGGGAGACGGCGCTGGGCGGGCGGCGGCGATGGGGCCGTGCTGAGGCTCCGCGGGTGCCCATGAGGCGCCGGGCAGAGCCGAGCCGAGCCGGGCGGGCTCCAGCCATGCTTCCCGGTCCGCCCGCGGGCACATGGGGCAGCGCTTGAACCGCTGCCTCGATGTCCCCGTTGCGTTGCCGCCGCTGAGGCGGAGGCTACTGCTGCTCTTCATCATGCTCTTCCTCTGGCTCTATATGTTCTACTCGTGCGCCGGCTCCTGCGCCGGGCTAACGACCCGCGGGTCACCCGCACCGCCCCGCGTCGCCCCACCGCTGTTCCCGCTGCTGCCGGGAGAGCCGGGCGAGGAGAGCAGCCTGGAGGAGCAGCGGGCAGCTCCCGACGCCGGCAGCCCCATCTCCAGCTTCTTTAACGGCTCCGGTACCAAGCGGCTGCCGCAGGCCATCATCATCGGCGTGAAGAAGGGGGGGACGCGGGCGCTGCTGGAGTTCCTACGGGTGCACCCCGACGTACGCGCCGTCGGGGCCGAGCCTCACTTCTTCGACCGCAACTACGAGCGGGGACTCGCCTGGTACAGGTACGGGCCGGGCCAGGGCGGGCAGCGGCCCCGCGGCGGGACGGGGCTGAGCGGTGTCCCCGCCGTCCTGCGCTCGCCGTCCCGGTGCGGGGATGCGGCCGTCTCGGGCTCCGGAGCAGCAGGTTGGGGAGCGCCAGGGGCGATGAGTTTAGCTATGATTCCACTAAATGCTTACCCCCGAAAAAGCAACCCCTAAAAATACAATAAACCCAGAGCACAACTTGCGGTCCCCGTTAGCCCAGGCGGCGGCGGGGCGTCTGCAGGTTTTCCGCTAGCCAAACCGTATTTAATCTCTGTATAAAGATTAAATATTAATTTAATAATTTGAAACACTCTTATTTCGCTGTGCTTCCAGGTCTTTTGCTGGAGAGTATTTTTGCTCCAGCTCAAGGTGCAGCTGCGGGATGACTGGTGTGTCTCCCGGGTCTGCATCGGCTGGCGGGCGGTGCACTCAACGACCGCACGTTTGCGGGTATTTTGACCCGTTTGGTTTGTTTTTTTTTTAAACCATTGGAGTGGGATTTGACACGTTATCTTTTTTCCCCTTTTCTGTATGGGGGAGGCGAGGTGGGGAGGGTTTACCCGTTTGGGAATTTTTTGACACTTTTGGAGAGGGTTTGACCCGTTCCTGTAGCGCTGCCTGGGACTGGCAGGCGGCAGTTTCAGCTAAAACTTCCTCATTCGCTCCCTGCGTTTAGTCTCCGTTAACTTTCTCCTACCCCGTACTCATCTCTGGAGCTGATCGATTGCCCGAGGTCGCGATCGCCAGCCCGGCGCTGGACGGCGGGAGCGGTGTGGGGTGTAGTGGGAAACGGGCGCGTCGGGAACGGGATGAACCCTTTGGATTGGGAGAAAATTATAAATTTCTGGCTAGCATCTTGTAAGGATGGTTGTAATTCTAAGTGTTTTTTGCGAGGAGCAGCCCGGTCCGGGATGTCTGCGTGCGGGTGGGCTCGGCGGAGCGGGCGGCGGTGGGTGCGGAGGAGAAGAGCGATCGGACACCGAGCGAGGGGCGACTCCGGTTTCGGTGCCTTTCCCGGCCTTTTCCGATTGAAGTTCCTTATCAGGAGTACTTTGAATATGTTTTTCTACTGAGTGTTTACAGGAATGCTAAAGGAGCAGAGATGGAAACTTTGAAGCTAGATGGCAGCTGTGAAGTTACGAATTGTAACCTCTTTGTAGTCTTGAAACTCCCACCAGGCAAGTCCAATTAGGTTTATGTCTCTTTTTTTAATGTTGCCATCCCTCACAGTTAGTGAAATGAGTGCAGGATAAGATCTGATGAGGAGGAAGTAATTTTTGAAAGCTGTTTCGTTTTAAGAAATTCTGTCGTTTCGGTGTAGGATGTGGTGTGTTATCCCACAGCAGCCCAAATGAAACCTTTGTAAATTCAACTGAGTTTTAAAAAGTATTCATCTCGCATTTTGAAGGAGAACTTGCATATAACAGAGCAGAAAACCTGTCAGGATTTATTAGCAAAATGGTGTTGTATGTGTTGAACTCTGTTTTTAATTAGGCACCTAAATTAGACCATAAAATGGTTGATTAATCTTTTACAAGTAGGAGGTGGAGGGGAGAAGGAGAGAATAATGCTTATGATTGAGTTCATTTGTTATCCCAAATGTAGTGGGTGAAAGCCAATATTTAAAGGATACACATTATTTTTAAATTTGGAGAACAGGTATCAAAGTTGTGTTTAACTTCCTAAGGCTTTACCTTATCAGCTGCTGAATTTTAAGCAGTGCGGGCCCTGTCCCTGCAAATACACTGTAGTTTTTCATTAGTATCTTTGCAAAGGGGCTGTTTTAGCTGAAATCTGATAAATCTTGAGGTCTGGATGGTGATGCTCTTAAGCAGCAAGAGTAAGTTATGCTGGAAGTCTTGGAATCAGTCGTGTGTGTTTCATCCCGAAGATGTGAGTGTGTCTGGTTGTCTGTGGGATTCAGACCTAGGTCAGTTAAAGGGGACTAAATAATGCAGAATACTTTGGGGAAGATGAAAACCAGACAAGTTGTTATATATTGTGCATTATTTCTAACTTAATTAGAATTAAATGCAAAAGTTTGTTCCTATAAATTTTGTCATTGGAAGTCAGATCCTATACAGTAGTAACTCCAAGCTCTTGCTGATTTCAATGAATCTTGGCTTCTCAGTACTTCTCAAGAAAATGTTTATTTCTCCCAGACATAAATGAGGCTTTTATTTATTATCTTAGTATTAATAAGGAGATGTGTTTATATTTTCTTGTTACTGGTTCAGTACAGTTCAGTACAGGATTAATGATGCTATGAAAGGTGCATGGTGTCAGCATCACACAGTGAGCTGGGCAAGCCTCATCTCTATTTTTCAGATGTTTTTGCTCAAATCAGCTGAACTTTGGAACTAGGGGAGTTACTGTGTCCTCAGCACCCAGAGTGCAGTGTAAATCCAATTGGCTAGGTTTGAAAAGATGAAGATGGAATTTTTGACTCGTGTCTCATTTGAACTGTGTTTTAGCTAACTGGCTAAATTTGTTTGTATTTGTTAGGAGTTTTTGTTTAAGTTGTTCCTACCATCCAAAATCTCTTTTTTCAGATTTTCAAGATACAGAGGCATCAAATTTACTTGTTTAGCTTGATGAATTCTTATTTTTGGAGGCGACTCTGATTAATCCTGTTTAACTACTTATTTCTGTCTGAAGTTTTCATCTATTGAAAATAATTTTAGAAGGAGGGAACACAAACTTGCTCCATTTTCTGTCAAGTGAAATGAAATATGTTGGTTTGTTGCTGTAGTGTGGAATGCAGAACACCATCAAGTGGTGCCAAGTATCATTCCTGAGAAGCAGAGGGAAAACAGGAAAAATTAAATGCTTCTTATCAATAGTGAGGTAACTAAAATTTAATGGAAATAACTTATGTAGGCACATTGCAGGATTTTTCCCCCCCACCCTAATAATGAATACAGTATGTTAACTGCTTCTACTGAAAATACATACCATGACAGAGGATAAATGGGATCCAGCCACTATTACAAACTAATTTTATGAAGTGCCTTGAATTTTTGGATAGTAGAGAAGCTCTCTCTTTGTGGCAGTAGGGAGTTCAGCTCCACAGCCTGTGTCTGGCTGAGTGGTCTGTAGGGATGTTGTTCTCTCTGGGGTTTACTGTAGAGCTTGGTGGGGAGGAAAGAAATGCTTCTTGTAAGCCTAGAAAATCAGTTGTTGAATTTCTTTTATTTTCTTCATTTGATTGAGCAAATGCAATGATGCATTTTGAAATATCCTAGGCACTTGAAAGCCTGTTGTCTTATAATTAATGTAAGAAAATGATTGTCATTAGTGTTACATGCTTTGGGTTGTTCCTTTTTTTATTATTATTTTCAGCCCAGTGGGCTGTAATGCCTAGTCCCTCCTGCCTTGGGCTGGGCATTGCCAGCCCTACTCAATGTCACTGATTTATATTTCAAGTCTGCAGCTCTCTGCTAGGAGCCCCTGTGCCGTGGCTGTGCCGGCTGTAACTGCAACAGCAGGACTAGGCTGATCTCCTCTGCCTCTAGCACCAGGGAAACCTCTTGTCATTTTTTCTTCTTTTCTCTTATGGAATATTCTTAAAATGCTGGTGCTTTGTCTTCCCACTACTCCTAAGTTGCCTTAGTTCATTCTCCTTGCTGAGAATGGGTGATTTGTATCAGCAAGATCATGCCCTGTGGTCTGGTGGTGTGTGATAAGCTATTTCAAATATGCATTTCTTAGACTCCCAAATTGCTTGAACTTTGTGCAAAGTGATGCTTGTCAGCAATTCCTGAATTGGGAGAAACTTCCTTATTTTTTTTTCTTATTTTTCCCCATAAGCCTCCTTTTTTTCCCCCAAGGAATGTGTGGGGGTACAAGCTGGTGCTTACAATCAGCCAGGCTGGGAGCAAGGGAAGAAAAAGGAAATTACGGTCAAATTTGGGGTGAAAGCCCTGATGAACTGAATCTTGAGCAAGGCAGGATTTTGCCCTTGTGTTTGGCCATTCTCTATAAGCTCAGCTTTAGTGAAGGTTTTATACCTCCTGCTTAATTGCTTTCCCGGTGAGGCATGGACCTGGCAGCGCAGAAAGAACTGTGGTTGGTTTCTACCAACTGTTACATGGTTTATTTGCCCCAGGAAGTTTGGGAGCAGTCCTGATACTCCCAACTGGAATTTGGGTGCAAATGACTGCATCTGAGCAAAGACAGGTTCCTCCACTGTATTCCCATGAGTTGTGCTGGGTCAGAACAAACATATCCTAAAGGACAGTTGTGTTCTCTGGGAAGGTTTTGCTAAATGATTTTGGTATTTACTTTTCTTGATGTGAAAAAAAAAATTAAAACTCAACTCTTGACCTTGCATTGTGTTGTACTTAAGCAAGTGGGGACTTTTAATGGTCCCCTCAGAATGTGCATGGAGTTGAGTGCCCCCTTGGCCACTGCAGTGGCTCCCTACACTTCCAGAACTGCTGTGTAACACTGGGAGGAAAATGGCCCCCAAAAAGAAGGGCTGGGCTGCTATAATCAGTCAGCAAGGCCCTTGTGTTTGCATGGGATCATTCCTTTAGATCTGAGGAGGGTTGAGTTGTTCAAACAGATGGCAAAGATTATTCGTGTTGCTGGGGTTTCAGTGCACTGCTCTGTTTCAAGCATGTTGCCCGATATGACGCACGTGACAAGTTCTTCCCAGCACGACTCTGGGGGGAATGACATTGTCTGTTGTGATCAGGTTTCATAGCCTCACCTGTTGAGCTGCTGAACTTTTCAAAGTTGACCAAGCATTGGGGGTGACGGATGAGGATGGTGGATCTGCCTGGCTAACCGTGTTAGCGCAAGACCGTGTGGCCTGCTGGGAGCATTGTGCTCCGTGGCATGAAAATGATGGGAATGAAAACCCATGGGCTCAGCTCTGGGTTTGGGATTTATTATTTTTTTTCTTTTCAAGTGGGCCATGGCAGGTGTCTGTAACACACAGCAAGTGTTGGATATCTCAAGGCACTTCCAGGCA